ACTTACAAAGGAGAGGTTTTGGATTTTGTGCCCTGCACTCTGTAAGAGGGAGGTTTTGGATTTTGTGCCCCTCACTTACAAAGGAGAGGTTTTGGTTTTTGTGCCCTGTACTCTACAAGAGGGAGGTTTGTATTTTGTGCCCCGCACTTACAAGGGGGAGCTTTTGGTTTTGTATTTTGTGCCCTGCACTTACAAGGAGGAGGTTTTGGATTTTGTGCCCTGCACTTTACGAGAGGGAGGTTTTGGATTTTGTACCCTGCACTTACAAGGGGGAGGTTTTGGATTTTGTGTCCTGCACTTACAAAGGAGGAGGTTTGGATTTTGTGCCCTGCACTTTACAAGAGGGAGGTTTTGGATTTTGTGCCCCTCACTTACAAAGGAGAGGTTTTAGATTTTGTGCCCTGCGCTCTACAAGAGGGATATTTTGGGTTTTGTGCCCCACACTTACAAGGGGGACGTTTTAGATTTTGTGCCCCACATGTACAAGGGGGAGGTTTGTATTTTGTGCCCCACACTTACAAAGGAGAGGTTTTGGATTTTGTACCTTGCACTTACAAGAGGGAGGTTTTGTATTTTGTGCCCCGCACTTACAAGGGGAATGTTTTGGATTTTGTGCCCCGCACTTACAAGGGGAATGTTTTGGATTTTGTGCCCCACACTTACAAGGGGGAGGTTTTGACGTAGGAGACATTGCCGGCAGCCGGGGGACACTGGGGGGTGACGCACTGGAATCCCCCCCCGGTGTTGATGCAGGTGCTCCCGCTTGTGCAGTTATCCTGGGACAGGGAGCACTCGTCAATATCTGGAAAACAGGGGTGGGAAGCAGCGTCAGGGCATGGAAGCCTCCAACTGAGCTCACCTTTCCATCAGAAAATAGGCAAAACCACCTTGAAACAGGTTAAACACGACCCAAAAAACACGGGAGCATCCCAGAATTCCATCTCCTCTCCCCAAGCTCTGCCCCAGACCAGCATGGGTTAAGAGCAGCCCTCTGCCAGCAGGAAGGCAGCTGCTTTTCCAAACTTTCTGCTCGATTGTTTGGAAACACCGGTCCCTTTTTATTTACTGAGCACCCGTGGGACGCCTGGCAGGAGCTGGAATGCAGAGGATTTGCTGGGAGCATTAGTGAGATGCCATGGAGCACAGGAAAACCAGGGAGGAATGGGGAAATAGGGATTTTCTCACCCTGAACTGCAGCAATCAACACTTCAGGGCACAAAAAATTCCCTGTTTTTCAGGAGGCTTTCAGCAGTTTTGGCCTCCCACCATTCCTACCCGCTGCCTTCCACCTGCACCCCAATTTCCTTGGATAGGGAGAGATGCTGCCACCCTCTGAACTGATCATGGAATTCTGGAAGTTTAACATTACTTTTGGCTCTGCCCAGGAATTCCCTGCTCCAGGAACATTCCCCACAGCCACAGTGGGGTCATCTTCAAGGAGGTACAGACCCAAAGTGTGGCTCCATCATCCAGAGAGGTAAAGGAGAGGGAAAGGGAGAGGAGGAGAGGGAGAGGAGCAGCCATGCTTCCAGAGAAGCATTTTATTTTCATTTTTAGGGATTCTTTTGAGGCGCTCTGGTGGAGTTTTCCCTTCTCCAGCACAACCCTGGGATTCATTTCCCCATCCAGCTCCGCATCCAGCTGGAGCTCCTGCCAATCCAAACATCCTCCATCCGCTGCCATCCTGCAAAGCATCCCTCCAGCATCCCCCTCCCCTCTACACCAGCCTTTCCCTCGGATATGGAGAAAAAAGCGGGAGAAAATGGCAGAGCACTTGGGACCGAGTAGATTCCAGCCTCCTCACCTTCGCAGCTCTTGCCGTCGCCCAGCAGGATGTATCCAGCAGGGCAGGAGCAGCGGAAGGAGCCGGGAATGTTGACACAGGCGTGGGCACAGAGCCGGGGTCCCCCTTGCTGCCGGTACACCTCGCACTCGTTGAGGTCTGCGGGGGACAGGGATTCACCGGGATCTCGCTCCAGCCTCCTGGGAAAACCCAGGGAGCGAGCGAGGGCCGGAGGAGCAGGAATGATGCGGGTTGGGAAGGGCCGATGGCAGATTCCAGGGAATGGGAGCACGGCTCGAGGGCAGTGACCAGCGGTGTCCCGCAGAGGGCGACACTGGGCCCGGTCTGAGCTCAGCCATCCATGGATGGAATGGAGGCCTTGGAGCCTCCAGGAGGAGCTTGGAGCATCGGCCCATCCCTGCGGATATTCCAGACCCAGCTGGGCACTATCCCGTGCTGTGTGCTCCGGGGTGGTGGGGCTGAGCCACTGTGCTCCTTCCCAGTGTGATTCCGTGACCCTGCAGCCCCGCAGCCCTGCCGTGTCCCGGCTCACCCTGGCAGATCCCGTTGGAAGCCGTGCCGCTCATGTGGAAGCCGGGATCGCAGCTGCACTGCTGGGTCTGGGCGACCTGGGCACAGCGGGGCTGCCGGCTGAAGGCCGGGTCATCCGTCACGCTCCAGGTGGGAGGAGCTGCGGGAAAACGGCGGGATGGGGAGCTGGGATGAGCTGGGGATGCAATATTCCCATTTATGCCCCAGCAAGGGTCACCCACCAGTCTGAGCCTGGTACTGGCAGGTGGTCCCGGTCCACTGCGGGGGACAGAGGCATTTGAAGTGGTTGAGACCCTCCAGGCACGTCCCACCGTTCTGGCAGGGGCTGCTCGAGCACTCTCTGATCTCTGCGGGAAAAGCAGGCACGTTCCGTGTTATCTCCTTTTGGGAAGCAAGGCTCAGGAATGCTGCACACACCGGGATGCTTTGGTACCCTATGGCATGTCATAGCCATGATACCGTTTCCCCTCATCTCTCCTGCTGAGCTGCTCCAGCTGTAATTCCCAGTTTTCCTTAAAACAGAAAAATCCCAAAACCATCCCTGGAACTTTGAGGGGCAGCCGCGATCCCTCCCCACTTTGAGCACCCCGATATCCCCACCATGTTTATACAAATCCACTTTTCCAAAGCACATTCCAGGACGGGCAATGAGCAGTACCTGCACAGCGGGCCTCCTGCCCTGTCCAGCTGCCGTTGGCCTGGCATATCCGTGTGCTGGAGCCCAGGAGCTGGAATCCTGGGTCGCAGGCAAAGTGAACCTCGTGATCCACCAAATATTTGCTGCCGAACTTCCTCCCATCCGCAGGGGCTTGGAGGGCAGGACAGGCGGCTGCGAGACCATGGAAAAGGGATGAGTTTGGAGGAAGCCCTATCATTCCAAGCCACCCTTCACCTGCAGTTTCCTTGGAATGCTGTCCCAGGGACTCACCGGCGGGCGGCTCCGGGGCAGCCTTGGCCAGGGAGGCATGGATGGTGCTCAGGCGGCTCCTGACAGCGCGCAGCCCCTCGGAGAACCGCGTCTCCTGCCCCTTGAGCAGCTGCTGCATCTGCCGGATGGCAGCCAGGAGCTGCTGCCTGCTGAGGCAGCTCTGCGGGACACAGGGATGGGGACAGGGATGGGGACCTCCCTGCGCTGCCTCTCCTCCCAGGAGCCAGCCTGCTGCCCGTGGGAGGAGGCCGGCCAGGGAACTCCGCAGCATCCAATGTTCCCTGAGCGCCCTGACTTTGTGTTTTCCCCCAGATCCAGGAGTTTTTTCCACCTAGGCCTGCGCTCCAGGCAGGGCTGGGATCGCTTTGTGGGAGAGATGCTATAACTCATGTTTCATCCTGCAGGAGCTCCAGCCCTGTCCCACTTCCACATGACAAAAGAAGAGGAAAACAGCTGTCTTGTGAGCTGTGCCGGGGCCAGGAACGCTGGTGGGACTCCTGCCTGCAAACCGATCGCTCCCACGGGACTGACTCATGCCGGAGACGGGCACCGTTATTATGGGATTCCTGCGGAATTGACTTCAAACCGAGGAAAAAAGAGCAAAGCCGTTCCCATAGCTCAGAAATGTGGGGAGCGCAGTGAGGAGAGAGCGCACAGCGACCAGGCTGGGGGCTATGGAATTCCGGGAAAGCCAGCGGAGGTGGTGGGCTCTGCCCCACCTGGTCGAAGGGATTTCTCCCCCCCTTTCCATAACCGCCCTGTGGAATGATTCCCGTTTCCAAAGAGCTGCTGAGGGTTGAGAGAGGACAAACACAGCAGCCCAAGCAGGGCTCTCGGAGTCCTCTGCTTCCCCGGGAGCGGGTCCGGGGGTCCCGGGCTGCCGGGCGGGATGAGCCGGGCTGTGCTGGCAGCTCTGGGATACCCCGAGCCCAAAGGAAGGGAGGCAAAAGCAAATAGATGCTGGCGCGTCGCTGGCTTTAATAAACAGCTCTTTGTTAGGGCTGGGTTTAACTCCGTGAGCTAGCGCGAGCTCCGGCGGGATGCTGAGCCATCGGAAAGCTGGAAAATCCCCCCCACAAAAGCCCCAAACGGGGATTCTGTGCTCGGGGGCAGCTTCAGGTGTGGGGTAAGAAGCGCGAAAAGAGCCCAGAAGCAGCGAAAAGAGTTCATGAGCAGTTTAAGCGCGGCTT